GATTACGTCTTCTAATGTCAACAATTGCTTCACAATGAAATAATTGAACACGACCTTTATTAGGATAATTCATATGGCATGCGTGGTTTAATTACGTCTTCTTTTGTTAACGATCGCTTAAACATGAAAGAATTGAATATGACTTTCTTTAAGATAATTCATATGTCATGCGCTGCTTGATTACGTCTTTCGTTCTTAACGATCGCTTCACAATGAAATATTTGAACACAACCTTACTTAGGATAATTCATATGTCATGTGCTGTTTGATTACGTCTTCCGTTGCTAGCAATCGCATCACAATCCAATATTTGAACACGATCTTGGTTAGAATAATTCATATGGCATGCCCCTGTTCAACCTTGTATTCTACAGTGATCGATTGCGAGAGAGTAAAATAATGGAATGCGACCTTTCTCAGGATAATTCATATGACATGTCGTGTTCAAACTTGTGTTTCATTGTTACCGATTGCTAAAGAGTAAAATAATTGAATATGACCTTCCTCAGGATAATTCATATGGCATGTAATGTTCAACCTTGTGCTTGACTGCCATCGAGTACTAGAGAGTAAAATAATTGAATACGACCTTACTTGAAATAGTTCCTGTGGCATGCAATGTTCAACCTTTTGTTTCACTATCATGGACTATTGAAGAGTAAAATAATTGAATAGAATCTTGCTGGCTATGATTCAGTTGTTATGTAATCTTCTAGCACCATGTTAGTGGTGAGTCTACGGTTTACACATGCGCGAAAGTGAATAAATGTTTTGTTATTAGTATGCATTTTTTATGTAGACCTTCATTGTGGGACGTTTCGTTATATTTTTGATGCAGTGAGAACCGTATGTATGAACAGAAAGCTAACAGTTGGAATGATTTGTTTGTTAAATGAATGTTGATGACATAATCCAAAGACATATTTAGCACCAAAGTATTCGGTATATTTAAACAAAGCTATCCTTATAATTAGGATGATTCATTAGCTTTGTGATCTAGCGCTATCTGAAGAACTCTCACATTGCATATTCGATGAGTTCCATAGTTGAACAAAGCACTTCTGAAAACTAGTCACAGGTAGTGTATTTATTTTTCGATGGGTAAATGGTGTATTTGTGTTCATTGCGATGAAATCTTTTGAATAGATATTTTATCGAAAATGGTTACATACTTATGGGTTGATCTGTTTGAGTAACATATGCCCGTTGCATAGAGGTGATTGACATTCTTGAATAGAATTATTATCATGTTTGTTCATTTTTGCTATGATATGGTTCCTTATAATAATGCCAGAAGCTTTGCCTCGCGTTTAATAGTATAGATGAGAGAACAGATTGTTACTGATGTTCGCTTACTATGAAATTGGTAATTAGATCACAAATTTTGGTTTTATTTAAAATTTTGACTATGTATTGAACAGGATACTTGTTAAGAATATGCAATTCTTGGGTAATTTTCAACTACGTAATACTTTTCATGACTTGCTTCAAAGTAAGTATCAAATTTGAATATAAATGTTGCTGTGGATATTCATAGAACATACAATCAATGATATGGTGTTATGTTAAAGATGGATCATTGAGTTTACAAGGAACATGGACACATTTTACATCATGAACATCTTAAAAACTGTACGAGACATTCGCTAAATGACTTCGAACATTACACGCTCTCATTTTGCTTCTTCATATACCCTTACCGAACTTCTTATCTTTATAAACTTTTGATGTTATTTTGATAGCAATCTAATCTTGAAGAGCATTTGTGTCGCTTTTACTCTTGAAAAGACTTTTCAGCATCTGAAAGGCTTATCTAACACAAACTTCAATTATATATTCGCAAGATTACTAATCAATGGTGAAGGTTTTGTTAGTACCTAGTCTTCTGGTTCTTAACTACTTTGCTCAGCTTTTCTTCTCTCTGTTTTGATACAGTAAATATCATACTTTTTTTTTCTTTTTAAAACTCTTCTTTTTTACATTTAATCATCATTCTTATGTACTTCAGTATTTTCAATAAATACTTTTATAAACGTATAGCAAAGGCATAGGAATTTATCGAGGTGATTGTTTTTCAGGCCATTAAAGCAGAATGCTGCAAAAACTTTGAATCTATCTCAGAGCTAGGCATAGGACAGGACGGTCCTGCTGTCCTGCAGTCCGGGACAAAATTTGTTTTATGTCCTGTGCTGCCGACCGCCAGAACACAGTAATCCTGCAGAACAGGACAGAAAACTTAGTCCTATGCCCACCTTTGTTTCATGTATTTTCTTCTCTGTATCAATTTTGTTATCAAGTACTTTTTCTTTCCTGTATTTTCGTATTAATAGTATCCACTAAATCTTACGATAATGATGATAAAGTCCTACAAATCCATATTTTTATTTAGATTTATTTCTCCTGATGAATGTGTTATTAATCTTTTTCGGTTGTTTACTAAAAGCTAGATAGCAAAAAAATATCTTCCCGCATCAATGCTATTCCTCTATCACGAGTAAAGAAAAAGTGTTTCGTTTCCTAATGCCCTTATACTATCATTCGGCAATATTCAGCCACTATGAGTGAAAATTTTTCAAAATTTAGTTTGTATTTTCAGCTATAAAAGCACAATATTTTGTGTTTTTTTCATTTATTCATAAAGATAATTCGATAGAAAAAAAGATAAAAACATATTTAGTGTTTCGGCTTCTTCCAGATTTACATCGACTTTTTTCTGACAAGATTTAAGTATGCTAGTCTTATAGTCCTAGTCAAGTCGTGCAGAAATTGATATTTGGTTTTATTCGATTCATGAGCTAACATCAGCAGCACAAGCTCGAAAGTCGATTTTAGTGAAAACTTATCTCGAAATCTGACTGTTTTATTCTTCGTGAGTGTTTTTTCGATAATTCGATTTAACCATTAGATGGGGAGGTGTGGATGTAGATGAGCAGAAGACTCATATCAACACTCACACTTACACCCCATATTTTGTTTGAATAAGTGTAGTATAAGGCGTATTTTGATTATAATATGTTGGAGTTTTTCGAGTAAATGGATAAATTTTATAGGCAGTTCAGTTTTCGTATAAACGGTCATTATCCCCAAATTTGCAAATGTCTCCAAACAATGGGTTCTAGAGATCTAGTACTGAAAATTATTTTACATCGACAACTTTTTATGCCCTATCATATGGTTAAATCGAAATTTCGAAAGAATGTTTATGAGAAATAAAACAGGGTGCGGATATGGGTGTGAATAGATATGGTCGTTCCACGGTAAACCGTTGTTTCTGTCTTGCTGTGTAGAGCTATTGTGATGTCGACAATTCACCTGAGCAACCAGGATCTTCAGGTGGCACTCGTAATGATTTTCAAATAGAAAATCAAAAGCAAAGTTAAATTCTATATTGTTACCAAAGTAATGATAGAATTCTCTTACGGTAGTGTATCAAGCAATGCACGATCCAGATTTCGACCTTTAAGGTTATGGGTGTGGCTGAATGTAGGTATGGGTGTAGGTCTACTATTCATCTACACTCACGCTCACACTCACACTTAACAAAATCTAAGTCTTTATTGTCATTTGTTATTAGAATTCATCGGGTTCAGTGTTCTTTATCCAAATTTCAAATCACACTCTTAATATTTTCAATGAAGCTCTTTTTTTTGTCTGAACCTGATAATCGCTCCGGGAATACGGCAATATGTTTTTTTACTTATTCATATCGATGACTAGCATATTCTATGCGTTTCTGAGGTAATTTTGACAGTGATCTTCAAATACTCGAGTTATAATCGAGTTTTACTTCGGAATACAGTCTATCGAATTCAAAATCTTCGGAACTAAACTCGATGTAGACACAAGCGAGTCTGATAGACTCTAAATTTGTTATATAGTTAAGACTTTTGAATAATAAAATCTTCTATTCTATGATTTTAGTATTGAAATTATTAAAAATGACAAAAGATATAAGAGCTTTAATAAATACCGTTATACAAGCTCTTGCACAAGTTGGAAACTTGGTAAATAATATTATGATTTCGATGTTGATAATATATAAAATGTTTCTTTTCTTATTAATTTTTTAATTTTTTCGTCTTTTCTTTATTTATGCTGCACTTGATGTTGAATTATTTGGAAAATTAGAATGTACCCATGAATGGCTACAAGTTAGAATGCAGCTTAAGTTTATTCTACTACCTGATGACTGAAGAAGGAGATACGGTTAATTTTAGTGACTCTAACAGTTGTTTTTCTTCTCATGATTCTTTACTTACATGATGTCTGTAGTTGTATGTTGAAGAAAAAGAAAGTTTATTTACTCTCATGGAGGCAATACAAATTATTCATTCTGTTTGCTGTATTTGAGTTTTTCTTTTTCTTCTCTACTGAATTGTAAAAATGTCAATAAAACTCTTATTCATGAATCGAAAATTCGTTTATTTAAATAAAAGAATGATGTCAATTGAATCAAAACCAACTGCGAAAATAGTATTAGTCATTAGAAAAAGTAACTATTCATTTAAAAGGAAATAACCAATATAAATCGCATCAAGCAACCATCACAACATAATATCAATAATTACAGTCTTATTCTATTAGATCTAAACATCGATGAACTCAATCCGAACAAAGAACATGTCATTGTTCAATTCAATACAATTATTAGTAGAACCAAAATATTCAATGATGTGGACAATTTTGTTGACTTTTTCACCGATTTCAATGATGAATTTATTTTTTTAATTTTATCAAATATCCATGATGAAAACTTTATAGCACTCATTCATGAGATGCCACAGATTTATTCGATCTATGTATTATATGATTGTAAAATAAGCAACAATGAATGGTTTAAACAATTCAATAAAGTAAGAGACATTTATACAGATATTAGTTCTATTTACGATTCACTTAAAAATGACATACGTCGATGTGAAGAGAATCTCATTTCAACCAGTATTCTTTCTAACACTAATATTTCGAAAGTAAACTTGAATGAACTTGATCCATCATACATGTATACAAAACTTTTAAAAGAGATCTTACTCAAATTAGATTATGATGAACATCAAAAAAAGCATTTTATAGCTTTATCTCGTGACTTCTATGATAATAATACGAATGCATTACAAATAGTTGACGAATTCGAACGAGATTATCAGAGCGATGCATCTATTTGGTGGTACACACGTCCGTGTTTCCTTCATCAGATGCTGAATCGAGCTTTACGAATGCAAGACGTTGAGACTGTAATAATTATGGGTTTCTTCCTACGTGATCTTCATCAAAAAATCGATGAACTACACTCAAAATCCAATCCACCAAAATCTTTTATCGTCTACCGAGGTCAAGCCATGAGCAATAATGATTTCGAGAAGTTATGCAAATGTAAAGGTGGTTTATTTTCATTTAATAGTTTTTTATCGACAAGTAGAAATAGACAAGTATCTCTTATGTTTGCAGAAAGTAATGCAGATAATCCGAATATGAAAGGTGTTCTTTTTGTAATGAGAATTGATACAATAAATACAAACGTACCATTTATTTCTCTTGATGGAATAAGTTATTATGAAGATGAAAAAGAAATTCTTTTTTCAATGCAAACAGTCTTTCGTATTGGTGACGTAAAAAAGATTGAAAATGAAGTATGGCAAGTAGACTTGACATTAACAAGTGATGATGATCAACAGCTGAAGATCCTTTCTAAACATATGATAGAAGATTTAGATGGAGGGACTACATGGCAACAATTAGGCCATTTGATGTACAAAATGGGACAATTTAAAAAGGGTGAAGAAATCTATCAGATGTTACTCAATATTACATCTGTCAATGACGAGGATCAAATTACTATTCTCTATCAAATGCTTGGAATTTTGAAATGTAAGAAAGGTCATCTTAGACAAGCTCTCTCATTCTTTCAAACTGCACTTGATATTCGACAAAATATTGTTTCTTCAAATCATTCTAGTTTAGCTATTTTACATAGCAATATAGGCGCTGTACAAAACAGTATGGGAGAATACTCGGCTGCAATTACTAGCTATAACAAAGCGCTTGATATTGTTCGAAATTCTGAGCAGATGAACTATGCTAATCTGGCTACTATTTATAGTAATATCGGTGCAGCGTACCGTAACATGGGAGAATACCCGAACGCACGATCATACTATGAAAAGGCACTTGAAATAAGGAAACAACATCTTCCGTTGAAACATCCAGAACTAGCTCATGTTCACATAAATATTGGTACTGTTTGTGGTGATATGGGAAACTACTCCGATGCACTAGAAAATCATAAAGAAGGACTTGAACTTTTAAAAAAATCTCTTCCGTCGAATCATCCTGATCTAGCTGTAGCATTTAGTTGCCTTGGTTCAATTTTTCTCAGAATACGTGATCATTCAAATGCAATTCTATATTATAAGGAAGCTCTTAAAATCTTTGAAAAATCTGAATTTTCGGATCATCCTGATTTAGCTATTCTCTTCAATAATATTGGCACTGTATACTTCGCCATTGGGGATTATGCACGTGCACTCTCACATTATGAAAAAGGACTTAACATACGACTAAGCACTGAACATCAGAATTATATTGATTTGGCCGCTAACTACAATAATATTGCCTTAGTATATGAAAGAATAGGGCGCTACTCAGATGCAATTTTAAATCATCAAGAAGCACTTAAATTGAGACACGAATATCTGCCTGCGAATCATCCTGATCTAGCTCAAAGCTATAATAACATTGGCCGTCTGTTTCATAACATGAAAAACTACTCTGATGCATTCTCTTATTATGAAGAGGCACTGGAAATTTGGGAGAAATTATCCCCAATGAATCATCCTGAATCAGCCCGAACCTACAACAATATTGGTACACTACACAGCGACATGGCCGATCTTTCAACCGCACTGCATTATTACGATAAAGCTGCTAAAATTCTTGAAATATCGCAGCCTTCAAATATACTTTTACTAGCTACTATAAACAACAATATCGGTTCAGTATATAAAAGTAAGAAAGACAGCTCAATAGCACTTTTGTATTATGAAAAAGCACTTGGATTTTGGCAAGAATGTTTGCCTGCGAATCATCCACATCTAGCTGCAGCATACAATAATATTGCTGGAGTATATAAAAATCGAACACATTATTCGACGGCATTGAATTTTTATAATAAAGCGCTTAAAACTCTTTAAGAATGCCCTTTTATGGATCATGCATTAGTGGCAACAACGAACAACAACATAGGTGATGTATATATATCTATGAAAGATTATTCAAACGGACTTCATTATTTTCAAGAAGCACTCAAAATCTGGCAAGACATACTTCCTCCAGATCATCCTGATTTAGCAATTATTTACAATAATATTGCTGCAGCGTATGAAGAACTCGAAGACTACGAGACTGCTTTATCATACTGCGAACGTGCTGTTAATATTGGGGAATCTTCTTTACCAGCTAACCATCCAAACAATGTGATTTTTCGTAAAAGGCTCGAACGATTAAAACTCTACATACTGGAACATTCTGCTTCTACGAGCAGCTGACTGAATAAATATACACGTTCAATGACTACTAATAAGAGAATTCAAGGTGCATCAGTTGATAATAGACAAAACATGAGCTGTAAGTATTTTACTTTTATTTTGCTGAAAACAAAACTATGCTCTCGAGACAATAACTAAATCAAAGTGAGATGAATTGTAAAATTTTGCACAGAAAAAAAAACGAAGAAAAACACAGGGTTTGTAATATACTCGACAAACATTCAAGTGCCATATCTATTTGAAATAATGCATCAATATGCTTGGCACATACATTAAATAATCATATCTACATATTTTCTTCTAATCTTATCTTATGAAATCAATAACTATCGCATTTCTAGAGTCGAGAGTGGGTAGGTGGGTGTGGATACGGGTAGATGACTGCAGGTTACGCTATTTTGACAACCTGACCCTGCCCTGCCCTGCAAACTTTTTCGCGTACCCTGCCCTACCCTGCCCTGTGAATTTATTTCATAACCTTTAACCTGCCCTGCCCTGTTTTCTTTAAAACCGAAGAAAATTCCAAACTTTCGTATCAATTTATTATTAAATTTCATTTAGATTTGTTACAACCATAAAGCAAAACCAAACAACATTATATATCTCGAAAATTTTTAATCATCAAAATATCATCAACAATATCTAGATTTAAAAACTGCCTTCTTTTTTCTAATACTCGACCTGATGAGCTAAAAACATGCTCTGATGTGGGTGTGGTGTGGGGTATGAATCTTCTCTTCGCACATCCACACTCTATTAAGAGATTTGTTGTTTTTTAGTGTATTTGATTCATCTAAACAATTTTTAAAATGATAGCTAATAATAGAAGTTTCATTTGATATGGAATATGATAATATCTCATAGAACAATCGACGTTGTACGAACGGTTGATATTCATTATTGAAACATTTAATATGTAATAAATGTTCCAAAAATGAACCATAAGATGATGATGGCGGTTCTACTATAGCTATAAAGGATGTGGGTGTAGGTGGGTGTGGATGTTGTCCATCTGTTCACACACACCCACACCCACACCCCACACTCTACGCCCTACCCACAGTATACACATGCTAGTCGTGAAATTATAGAATCACGCCTTTATGATGCATCCACTGTCAGTAAATCTGCGGTAATCAGTATGAAAATGAGCCTACGTAGAAATGCGCATCTGATTGGGTACGAGAGCCTTTTCGTTACAAAATTCATGTTCGCATTCGACAAAAATAACACAATAAATTAGACGAATGTTTTGTGCTTTCTTTTCTCAAGAGCACAGCATAGACACATGCTCAAGAGTAGTATAATACATCATTTTGTGTGAATCCATGCTCAACCGTACATCCTCAAGATAATCACATATGAGAGAATATGAAAATGTATATATTGGTACAGCACCAAACAATAACGTTTTAAGTAAAAATTAAAACAGACAGGTAAAAATTAACTGTTAATATTTTGGAACTGTTTTCGTTTAACCGATGGAAAGCATAAACGGAGCAGCTGTTCGAAAAAACCCGATGAATCCACCGAGAAAAAAATGCTAATAAAAAGACCGACGAAAATCCCATTATTATCAATTTTGAATTTATGATATCATCATTTCTGCTAGCGTTAAAATATAAATCCGGACAAATCAATAGTCCACTGAGAATTCCGACTAACAAGCCTCCGATGTGGACCATATAGTCCATTATTGGAACAAAAATACCCAATAGCAAGAAGACAATAAAGACAATTCCTTGAATGATTATTTTAAACCAAGGTTTTAATATGTTTTTCCAATTCAAAATCATATCTATAAGATGGACAGCTAAAAGTCCAAACAATGCTCCAGATGCTCCTGCCCCAGCTAAAAAAAAGAAAAAAGGTAGATTGTAACTCGATATTTTTCTAGCAAGTAGTTAAATATAGTTCATTTCGAATTAGTCTGTTTTCAACAAAGAACGGCTTGCTTTTAAAGAGACAGTTCATCAACACCAATAAATTCTTGATAAACAATTTATTGAAGAATTTCTCTTGATATAAACATATCCCAACGAGATAAGATATCTACTCTCTGCCTGATTCAATTTTGTCTAACCGACTTGTGCTTATGAAATATTCTGCAGATAGGTCAAATCATATGACTACAGCCTACTTTTATTCGATTCTCTCGCATATCTAACTCACTTGTTGGCGATATACTTACCAGCTCATGGAAGACCGACTGCACTGAGTAAACAACCACCGATACCTGACAACATATATATAACAATGACACGAATAGAACCAAACTTTCGTTCTAGTGGTATTCCAAAACTCAATTGAGTCATTATGTTCAGGACTAAATGAATTATGCCAACGTGAAGGAAAATTGGTGCAAAGAATCGATACGCTTGATAAGGAAAGCCTTTGAGATTTTTTGCATTGCACCAGTACCGAAGAATTTCTTCATAGGTGCAATTATTATTATACGATAGCTCTGACGTACAATTGACTATGATATGTAGAAGATCTTCTTGTGTGGATTTCATACAGGGAACAAGCTTAGATCCATTTCGAATAAGTGTCTGGTTCAAAGGTACAGCCATTCTATTTTCTGACATTGGAGCTAGGGTGTGGGTGTGGATGTGGGGTGTGAGGGTGAGGGTGAGTGTAAGTGTGGATTTTTCCTTCAGCGCATCCACGCCCACACTCACACCCTTCATTGAATGTACAGAAGTTTTTATGTAAATGAGTCTCGAAAAGATTCGAGAGAGGAATAAGAAATGTGCTTACGAAATACAAACAGTAATAGCCATCGATCTCTTCTAGATTTAATCGAATAATTAAAACTAGCACGTTTCAATATCGTTATGAAACAATTTCTTAATGATCGTCTCTATGAAAATGAGTTACAAGTTTGAATAAGCATTGACATACGAAATGTCAGAAACATTTATCTTGAGCGAATTTTTCAAAGATAAAATTCTGCATATCATTTATTTTATTTGATAAAATAATGATTCAATGATTTAATTTTATTAATTGATTGATTTAATTGTTATTTCTCTAAGATCGTCAAAGTTATCAGTGAAAAAACTCTGTGTTCATTTAAAATATATTTTATTTTTCGTGAATAAGAAAAAAGCGATCATCCATGAAACTATAATTTTTTAGGATTGTTTTTTTTTAATGATTCATTGCACATTATTCAACAAAGTTTTATGTTAATAACTTATTATCATTCACCTTATCTGTTGTTGTATTCGTTTGATAGTGTGATGAAATGCATTGATGATAACTACTCGACAATTCCATATATGAAAGTAGAAAGCGATCGCAGTTATTATTAGAAACATAAGAAAGACTCCGCCTAAAGCATTGATTGAAAACGTTCCACTTTTTGGACCATCAACATGATTCAAACTACTTGATGATGATGATGATGAACATTCTCGATGATTCATCCAGATCTTTTCAAATAATTCTAATTTTTGTGATTCACGTAATGACACAATATTGACATCTAAATCTTTCGTGTATAGCCATTTTTTAGGTAACACAATTGCAAATGATGATTTAACAAAACCAATACCAGTTACAATTAATTCATTACAATAGTAATTGTTAACAGCATATTCAAGTATAGATGAATCCCATATAGATGCATCAATGGTATGATCAAGTAATCGTGAGTATATTTCTTCAACACTAGAAAGAGAATAGTAATGAGTAGAAATATTTCTTATATAATAATCGGATACAGCTGAATTAGTCGTAATACCAATACGTGAAAAAGGTAAAAGACCATTTTTGATATCATCAATACCAGTGATAAATGATTGATCACGGTTTAATGTAAGAAAAAACGAAAAATTAGCTGTATATATTGCAATAAGAATCATGCCTAATGCATATAAACCTAAAATTGTTAATCGACTTGAAATCGTTGTTAAACGTATATCACTATTCGTCGTTAAAATACTGGTCAATCCATGACATATACCAATAAAAATAGTCTTTAATTCAGATTGATTATTTTCAATATTTATATATTGATGTTCAAAAACACAAATAATAATACTGGAATAAATAATAACTGCAAATATTGCTACCCATACATCCCAAGTGAATGGATTAAAACATGAGAAAAGACTCAGTGATGATGAATATGGATTTAGTCGAGTAATAATTCGGAAAGTATCTTCATGAAAAGGTGTTGAAAAGTCAACTTTAATCATACGATCTGAAGTCATTGCAATATTAGATAAAATAATATCATATTGACGATTATCTTCTGCTACCAATGCAACAAGCGAATGATAGCCCGTTGATGGATCAGCAACATTAATTGTATAAGTAAAATTCATACGCGTTGCAAGTTCACGAATAAGATCAGCAACAAATCCATAAATAAGAATGTTTGAATCATTAGTTCCTAGAGGAACAGAATTAGAACGGATTCGTTCTGATGTTTTAGCATCTGTTGACAATTGCTTGGGAATCGAAGAATTGTGTACTATAACGAATGGAGGTGCATCAATAACAAGAATTCGTAAAGATTGACCTAAATATAATGTGTGGAAATTATATTATTACTTATAAAAAACAATACAAAACTGAACTTTATTTTTTATTAAAATAACAAAAAATCATAGATAACAGTAAAGAATATTCTAAAGAAATTCTATTTAAATCAACGTATCACAAAATTTTGATCTTACTAACAAACAATCTTAGATGTCTATTGATATATTTCTGAGATGATAGAACGTTTTTTGTTTTTTGTTAATTTCGGCCGTAAAACTTGACATTGAAGCATAGCTACATTTTCGAATATCGATCTAAAACTTTGCTCATATAAAGACATCAATTAGATTAAGGCTTTCCTCCTCAGAAATAGCTAATTTTATTCAAATGTATCGATTTTATGATTTCTATCTGGTTAGTTAGAGTGAAATGTCTACTTTCGAATGCACTATAGTTTATTGATTTTATGATGAGATTTAAGGATATTACGTAGGTTTTTTTGAACCCACCTACACAGAAAAATAACGTTTTTTTCTGAAATATTTTCATTTTTACGTTCTATGCATCCCAGATTTCTCCATTATTTTAAATGCTAGGAAGTTCGGCTTGGCGTCAAAATGAAGATAAAAATTAGCTCTACAATTTAACAGAGTTGGGGTCTTTCGATTTCCCTATTAATGTTTATAAAAAAATTGAATGTTTTAGACCTACCCTCCGCCAAGTTTTCCATATTTCACCCGAGAAGTTTTCTAGGAACAAAAAGTAGGATAAAATCGAAAGATTGGGTCCTGTTAAGTCGTAGAGCTAGTTTTTATCTTCATATTGACACCAAGCCGAACTTTCTAACGTTTAAAATGACGGAGAAATCAGAGATACATGGAAACCTAAATTTTCATCCATATTCTATCTTCATTTTCTTCGATGATTTAACGCATATAAAGACAATAATAGTTACCGTCATCTATCGTAATATGTCTCATACGAGGATAACATAATGTATATCGATAAGAGCTTCGATTGATATCTAATATATTCAGGCTTTACCTCGCTTGTAATTAATAATAGGTAGACTAAGTTATAAAAAAAAATACAACAAAGTGAAAATAAAAAAAACCTCCTTTCCTCATCCGCAGCAGTAGGAAGTCTTCTCTCAAATACAAGCAACCAGAACTCTGCAGCTTGACGTATATTAGAAAAAACTTTGTACGCGTAAAGGTCTGTTTCACAGCTTTGTTCCTGGATATCTTCTGAACGGTAATGTATAGAGACGTCAAAAATTTTTTTTTGCTAATGCACTTCCATTAGCCCAACATCTAAACAAAGTTTCATCAATATCTCATGTATCCTGCCGAAGTTAGATTATTGAGGTGGGAAGCCCTCTTAATTCGCATAAAAAGTTTCAAATTTTCGAAACATGTTTATCTGAGATATTCAACTTTCAAAATATACATGCTGTAAATATGCTCTCCATGAAAAAGAATTTACACCTCAAAAGTTTCGTATCTCGAAGAGATTTAGTTAAAAAATTCCAAATTTTTTAAGGTAAACTAGTCTTATTGGTATGTTTATCTGAGCAATGTTTCAGATCAAAATTCGAAAGTATTGTCTGCCAGTGATATTTAACTTTACAGCCGAAATTAACTAAAAACGTATTCGATCTCCTCAGAAATATGTCACAAGCACGAATACTTTTTCTAAGAGGCATAGTTTATTAAAGTCTAATAGATTCATCAAGTCATGACTCAAAAGTGAATGAACACCTTGAAATATTCCGTTGTTAGAAGTGCATAAACTTTTGTATGATGTTTCGAAACTTCAAATTTTCCCTGACTATTAGTATTCTTTTTGCCTGTCTTTTCTATTTATAAAATGACGATAGTTCTTTTTTCATGATTAACTTTATTTCTCACCTCGAAGTTGTGGATAATCACCAGGCACTTGTGTGGTTTCATTGTTGGGCCAGATGATGTAACTATTGTCTTCATTAGTAGAATTCGTCCAATTATGAGTTGTTTCATACCATGTCAATACTTTTCTATAGGTGGGTTCTCTGTCTCCTCTATTGTTTTTCAACGTCGTCGATTGTACATTGTAAAGTCCATACATGGCACCATAGATACGATCACTTGAATTAATTTTAGAAAATTGAATATGTCCTGACGCACCGAAAAAACTTGTATTGTTTAGATGCATAAAATACTCATCATGATTTTGTAAGAAACTATTAAAACAAGTCGATGATTTCTTCATTGATGGTGATGTATTGTTAAGCGTTGATTTGTTTAATGCTTGGATTAAAGCCCAAACAGCATCAAATGTATACATGGCTTCTAGACTGACAGAAGATACATGTTCTGGAACATTGCCTCTATCATGTGATAAATTACGCCAGATATTGAAAGCCTCTTTTTGTAATGTTTCGTTAACACCAATGGCACTACTATTGCCTATAAAAGGTATTACAGTAAAAATACCATTTAAATTAAGCCGCTCATATGGTTCAAATGCATTGAAATCAATCTGAAAATAACGGTGTTTTACAATAGAAATTAAAATAAATTGATTAAACTATGATGACTAAAAGTCACAAAATAAGTCATTAGTGTCGCCAGAAATGCAAATCTATCTGTAGGTTTTCCTTTCAATGATCCCTTAAGTTCTTTCAGAAAATGGGTAAACTTTTAAAAATTAAAACATTTTATATTTACCATATTTGTTGTTATCCATATGTAGTTTGCACCGAGAAGTTTTGCATTAAGTGCATGTTGAATAATTCTTGTAGATGAACTATGATTAGCCCAGACTAGTACAATACGAGATCGACTTTTTTCTAATGTTTGCTTTAAATCAGCTTTAAATTTATCGACTCGTGGATCAAATACTAATCGCTCTTCAATAGACAAATTTGCATAATAATTTTCTAATAATAGTTTCAATCCACCATAACCATAATCACTATTTCCAATAATCATTGAACAAGTTTTCCACGAAAAATATTTGAACAATTTCACAATAGCTTCAGCTGTAAGAATATCCGAAGGAATAGTACGATAAAATGTTGGATAGTTAGATTTATTGTCAAGATCAGCAGTACTTGCAATGTAAGAAACAAGGGGTAAACCTATATGTGTCGCAAATGGAGCAAGATAGCGCGTACTAGTTGAACTTGTTGGTCCGACAATACCTAGAACATCGTGTTCTGTTGTATTAATAATTAATCGACAGACAAGCTCAAGTTCAGCAAAACCATTATAATTTGTATTTGTCTGAAGAATAGTATAATTGATAGGATTACCACCCACATAGATCTTGTAGCGATTGGCAAGAGTAATAGCTACGCGAAACATTTCCATAGATTGAGTTGTCCAATGGGAACTTTGATCTGCCTTCGAATACCGAGAAGGTGCATGGTGATATTCAGGAAAAAGACCAAGAATTTGAACAGTATTCAAAGAATTAGGAAATAGAATAAAGCAGACAAATAAAATAAGAAAGTGACACATTACAACTCCAAGAGAATGGAATGATATGAAAGAGTTGTTTCTAACCAATTTTTAATATAAATCATGAGTGTTTTTTTTAATTTTCTGAACAGATGGAAGTCCTTTTGTAAAATTGGAAAAATCATAAATTCACATGATGACAATGAAAACAATAGTATTAATAATGAACTTTCTGCTCTTATGTGCTTCATAATTTATTACTTGTATTTATTTTCAATTGACATATTATCAGATATCATCAAAAATGTTAGTTTTAATAAAGTCGTGTATTCAAATAATCTCTAGAAAAAGTCTCATGCAATGTAATATGGAGTCATCTCGATAATTTTTATTCAAAAAGATCTTCTATCTACTAATTATAATCTTCGATAAGTTTATTATAATGTTTTGAAATTATTATAATTCAATCACTAGCAAATCGATCTCATGTTAATGATAACTTTTCTATCATAGTGATAAATCAGAGAAAAGGGTAAAATCATTGAAATGAAATAATTAACAAATATTTTATGAGAATAAACATTTCTTTTCTAAAAATTAGCAACAAAATATGTTTCTTCGATAGATAGTCATTTGATTACATTCAACATCTGTTCATCATTTCCAGATGGCGGCGGAAAATAAAAAGGATATTGATGTCATTATCAGAAGAGTTCTATTGCGATAAAACCAATATGAAATATACAAATCATGGTATAAAAATATATTTTATTTCCTTTACGCAAACAAAAATGTATTATATACTCGATTCGTTTATTTTATTATGATAATCATTCATGACTTGTAGATTATCATATATTATAGGATGGTCCAAAAGTCACCTGTCAGTCAGTCTTTGGTTGTGAATAACTTTTGATAGGAACAAGATAGAGAGATGCGGGTTTCACCGTTCGAAAACGACTGTGTCACTGGATAAGTTGATGTTTTATTTAACGATATTCATTAATTAAAAAATGATTAGTCAGTGATCTTCAAAAAAACTCTGATAGTTTTATGAAGTGTCATAACATACGGTGGTTTAAACTCGTCCGACAGCCTTCAATTGCAAATAACGTTTGATCTCTATCGGTTGTTTATTTCAAATTTAGTATTAATATTGGATAACGTTTTATGCAAAGAGGTACAGATGACAAGCAGTTAAAAGACTATCGGACGAGTTTAAACCACCCTATGTTGTGACACTTCATAAAACGATTAGAGTTTTCTTGAAGATCACTGACTAATCATTTTTTAATTAATGAACATCGTTAAATAAAACATCAAACTATCCAATGACACAGTCTTTTTCAAACGGTGGAAACCACTACTCTCTATCTTGTTTCTATCAAAAGTTATTCACAACCAAAGACTGACTGACGGGTGACTTTTGGGCCACCCTGTAATATTAAAAAAAGCCTGTTTATTATGTGCGAAGGTTTATGCGAGTTTAAAATATTATTCTTTTTTCAATTTCTTCTTGATTACTTCGTCGATTAATGTCAAAGCTGTTAATGCATCAAGAGCAATTTCTATTGGTTGTTCTTTACCTTTATTTTTGTAATAGAAAGTAGTGATTGAATGTTCGACTAATGGATTAATATGAATAAAATCAGCTGTCCAGGGTATAAGTGTGGGTATAGATATGGATATGACTCAGAGAAGATCCTTAGTCACACTCACATCCACACCCTTTTCGTTGAAACTCAATATGTATTTCTTAGCAGACATATACGCAGTCTGTCTGTGAATATTTTCTACTACTTCTTCTTCTAAGTATAATTCAGACTTGAATACAAAAAAAAAGTCTTCACAAAATGAATTCTTTCCAACAAGTAGCTGTATTAAAATTACAATATTGACCATGATCAATGTGATAGAAATTCTCTTGAGAGAGATTCTCTTATAGCATATGTTGTTGTTGATGATTTCAATTGTTTGTACAAGCTCAATGTTTTCTATTGGATAAACAGAGTATTATATATTTCTGCTTAGATAAATGTAAAACTCTATGTAACATATAAAAACTCAACAAAATTGTGAATTCTCAACACGGAAAGATATATAATGACTTATAAAGAATGGTTCTTATGTAGTATTCGAAAAATAGGTCAATAAGTCACAAATGAGATACCGCAAACGCGAAGAATATTCAGTGCGAAAGGGTGTGGGTGTTGTAATGCTTCAATCATTAGTTGTATAGCGTGATGCTTCTCGTTAAAACAATCAAGACAAAAAAATTGTCACAATCATAACACAAGGTTTTTATTTTCGTTACTGTGACATGCTCGGGTGTGGGTGTGAATGTGGGTGTGGGTGTGGATGTATCGGTGAGAGAATAGTCATACCCACACCCACACCCACACCCACACCCCTTTTAGAGGTCTTATACTCATTGTTGTGCAGCTTGTTTACTATAATGAACAATAGATATAGCTTCTAGAAAAACATTCATTTCAGTAATTTTTTTCTTTCATCACGTAGTCAGTTCATATTGATAGAATAATAGATAGGTTTTGTCTAAGCCACGTCTATTTTATTTTTATCTAATAGTTAGTTATAAGGATAGATAGATATCTAAATAGTGCAAAAATTTATATTCGTCATTTTCAATGAGTAATTCATCTTATCTTGCTATAGTTTAATGAGATTTTTGTAGTTACAATAGTTTTTGTCGTACAATTTCAAGTATTGCTAGTCAGTTGATTTTTGAACTGAGTAAATCGTTAGAGAAAACAATCCTACTCCATGGAATTAGTTTTCTGTTCACTAATCATTTATAACTAAAACTAAATTGATAATTTATTACTACAAGATAATGACAAGGCTTTCGTAACTAAGAACTCATCTAAATTATATTTGTTAGAAAGCTAAGTCTATAGATTTGAGATGATTTCTTCTAGTGATTTACTAATGAGAGAACATTTTCAGCTGTTTAACGGCTTTTGAGTTGAGTCTCTGTACATAAGGTAGACTCCATTGAGATAGGAAAAGCTTTACAGTAAGAGATCCATTTAGACCTTCTCCTCAAAGTTTCAGGCATTTTACTGGAATGTTAGACTATGTCATGATATATGCCAACAAATTGAATGACAGAATTTAAAGCTGAAATATTGCTTACAAGCATGGCTATTCGTGAGTAAAAAGTTCGACAAATTTCTGATGAAACGAATGTTTTCTTCTTCAGATATTCAAATCTCGAAAAACAAAAGAAAATTCTAACATTTTTCGTGAGATATGATCGACCTTTAGTATCTCGAGAAGGAAACATACATTCGACCAGAAATTTTCAAGACCTTTCACTCACGAATAGCCATGCTTGTAAGCAATATCTCAGTTCGACAAATTCTACCGTTCAATTTGTTGGCATATACCATGACAGTCTAAAATTCCAGTAAAATATCTAAAACTTTGCGTAGAAGATCTAAACAAATCTCTCACTTTAAAGCCTTTCATAATTCAATAGAGTCTACCTTATGTACAGAGCCTGGATTCAAAAAGCGATTACGTAGTTAAAAATTTTCACTTATGAGTTCAGAAATCGAACGTATAAAAACGCGTTAACAAATTTTAACGAAAATAAAATCGCAAAAGCATACATTTTAAAGCGTTCATAACGCATTACACTTTTGAACGAATTTATTTTGGTTCAAAAACTTAAACTCATTATGAAAACATTAAAATATGCGCTTTTTGAGATTTTATTTTTGTTAAAATTTTGACACATTTTTACGCGTTTTTTTGTCATTATTTGTCTGACTGGATGATAGTTAGAAAACGAGCAAACATCATGTGCACCTTGGTGTACACATTTCTCGACTTAGATCGATAATAAGAATGATTGATACTGCATAAATGTATTATATTTGTTTTGCATTTCAAATAGATGAATATCAAAAAGAAAATTATATTAACGGTTTAATGATTCAATGTTCTTGGTGTCAACAAGAATGATCTTTCATTTATTTGTTTTCTCCAATTATCACTATCATTAAGCAAATTTCTTATTTTCTTCGTCGTTCATTTTATTCACTTTCTCTTCAACTATCATTCGTATCTAGTAATTACATACGAAACAATTAGTCAGTAGCCTTATCTTTTCTACAATATGTAATCGTACCCAAGAAAACTTTATAGAAAGAAATCAACTCATAAAAACGTGTTTTTTTCTTGTGGAAACATGAAATTAAAAAGTTGATAGGCAATTTAAAAAAAACCCTTTTTTTTGAAAACTTGCTATGTGCTTTTCACAGGAACGGAGCGACAAGGGCATGAATTCATCTGAGGTTTTTCTCTACATTATAACCCCTAGCAATAGGCAACATATAAGCTCAGACAGAGTATCAGTAGGTGAGATTCTTTTGTTAGTCGAAAATCGAATTTTAGAATTTTTTCGTTGTTTTACAAATTATTTTTCTTAAAAAGCCAGCGTTTTTTCGACAAAAATGACAAGGATTGTTCGGAAATGATATTAATGTCTAAAAAGATGGATGGAAGATATTTAGAATATTCAAAAAATATATTAATATCATTTTTCGAATGTGCCCTTAATAGAATTTTCTTCTCGAACCACAATTCGTTCACACCTATTTTGCTTTTGTTATCTGTCTATAGATAAGCATATGATTCTAAACAATAGTTTTGTATCCTTACCGCAGTCGACTGATGATGATGGCAACAGACAATTTGCTGAGACACTAGATCTCGTATCTCGTTATTTAACAACATATATTGATTTTTTTCTTATTGTATTTGGTAACTTTAATTCAATGGTTGTGATCCTATTAGTTTTCATGCTACAAATCATTTAGACAAAATACATGTTCAAATTATCTTCTACTGTGTAGTCTATGCGATTTATTACAATTCGATTT